ATTCCCCTCCCCGCCGCTCGCCCGGGCCGCAGCCGGTTCCCATCCCATCCCAACCCGCCGGGCCAGTTCTGCCACCCACGGAGTGCCAGACATGACACAAGAGTACGACAAGTAAGTGAGCGAGCGAGCGAGCGAGCTGGGCAGACGGGAAGGAGAGGGACGGGGGCTGAGCCCGGGCAGGTCCGACCGGTGCGCCTGCCCCTACCCCGCACTCCACCCCCCGCACTCCTCCAGGCTTGTCATCCCCTGGCTCTCGACTGGTGTGACTCCTGTTGCTCTCATGGGGAGCGGGCGGCGGTGGCGGCGGCGGTGGCGGGGGCTCCCGCGATGTGATCGGGGGTGTCCGGGCTTAGGGCTCCGGCTTCGCCGCGGTCAGGCAGGTCCCTCTCCAGGATGAGTTGGAGGCAGGAAAGGTGGGAGCTGGATTCCTCTCCAGGACGCCCCCTCTTCTTGTGGTTCTGATGCGGCGGCCTGGGGGGTGGGGGTGGGGGAGTTGCGGCCCCGCGGGTTAAGGGAGCCTTGGGGAGGGGGCATCGAAAGGGACTTCGCTCTCCCACTCCGGAGTGCGCGAATGAGGAAAAGAAAAAACACACACACACCCCTGCTGGACTGCCTGCTGGGGTCGACTGAAGCCGAAGCCCCTGCCTCGCGTAGCAGAGTCAGCCGTCAGGGCAGAGTGGCGGAGAAACGCTGGCTCCGCCATCAGCCGACCCCAACATCGTAACCGCCCCCCCCCGCTTTCTTTTTGAAGCCACTTATTTATTAGACGGCGAGCACGAGGGCGGCCGACCCGCGTCCAGGACTCTGGCGTGGGCGCGGGGGGGGGGGTTTACGAGAAACACGGGCTGCGTTGGGCTACCCGACCGTCGGTGCGCCAGACCGAGGGTGATCCCCAGGCTGGGTCTTGCGCGCCCGCCTCCTTTCCGGGGCACCTGGACACACAGCGTCCTCCTCTCTTGCAGGCTTTCGCCCTGCGCCGCGCTCTCCGCTTCCCCTGCTCGCGAGGAGCGCCGCTTCTCCGGCCGGGCTGTGTATGTCTCCGGCGGTGCCCCTTCCGAGAAAGAGGGGCGAGCCTTCTCGGGCGTGCGCGGGGAAGACGCCCGTGGTGTGACAGGACAGCCCGTGGATTTCAGTGCGCTCCTGTGGCGCGCGCGAGGAGCTGCCGTCCGGCTCTGGCGAAACCTCGACGACGGAGGGGGTCTCTCGCCCCTCAAGGCAGGCCGCGGCCTCGCGTCATGGCCTCCCTTTATTGGAGGAAGGCCACACACCATTGGGGTGTCTGGCGGTGGTGGTGGTGGGGAACCTGGGACTTTCTGGAGCGCTCGGCCCCTCACCGTCCCCGGATGGCGTCGGCGCTTCTGTCAGGGTGGCCCTCGTTGCCGCCCAAAGCCACCCCTGGGCGGGGGGGGGGCGTTTGGCTTTGAGGCCGGATGCCGCCCCTGAAGACAGTCGACGACACCCCCACCTACCCCCGCTCAAGGCTCTCCTCGGCCTCCTTAAAGGCTGCGTCCAACAATTCCTTGCCTGGCAGCCCCCTTTCCTCCACAAAAGGGACGTCTGTGTGCGTGCGTGTGCGTGTGTGTGTGTGGGAGGGAGAGGGGGCGGGGGGGGGCAGACCGCGACGATCCCGACCCTCCGGCCTTGCCCGCAGCCTTCCCTTGGATGGCTTGGCTTCCTGGAGGAGCCCAATGAAGCGCAAGGTGTGCTTCTCCCCACCTTCTCGGAAGAGAAGGAGGAGGACGACGAGGACGACAAGGGCTGGGCAGGGGAAGCGCTCCCTTCACTGAGGTGTCACTCCTTGAGTCACACCTGTGTGTGTGTGTGTGTGTGTGTGTGTGTGTGTTTTCTAATGGCTTGAACACTGCCACCCTCATTATTAAAAAAAAAAAAGATGGTTTTTGGGGAGCTGAGCCACGCTTAGACCCTGATGTGCAGATTTGTTCTGTGGACATCAGAAGGCCCTCTTCTCAGTGTGCTCTTGGAGAAGGACCTGATGGATTTTTATGAAGCTCATCCTCCAGGGAAGGTGGATTTGTCCAGGTAATTGGACTGTGTTGGTTTAGCCCTGTTGAGGTATATGGGGAGGGGGGAAGGGGAGAGGAAACCTCTGGGGATGTCTTTATTCCATATTTCAGCTGTTGTGTGATGAGTCCAGACCGATGCCTTTGAAAATATTTGGTCTCCGCTCATTCCATGCTGGTGTAAACAAAGGGATTGGAGCCATAATGTGAAAGAAAGGAATGACTTGTGTAAATGAAGGAATTTTCCCTTTTTGCATGTTTTGCACAGAAGGCAGATATTGTATTGCTTTGCTTTTTGCTTCCCTTCTCTGTCACACACTTGATGACACAACCTGGCCCATTTTTCGGAACAGATTGTTAATCTGATGGGTCTGTTCCGAATGCAAGAAAGAAATCAAGGTGAAGAAAGGCATTTGATGAATTTTAATATTAAAGCAAAATTAATTCCAGGTTAAGGTTGTAAATCCTTTTGTTCATAAGGAGTATCTTTTGAGAATACACAGCTGCGTCATTTGGGAAACTGTCATCTTTTGGCTTGGAAGCTTTAAATCTAATTTGATGCTTCATTAAACTGAATGCCTTGAAGGGGCTGTGCAAGTAATAAAGGCTGATCAGTCAAGTGCTGAATATGTGTGTGTGTGCTGGCATATGGGCATCTTCCTGCTTGGCAGCATCAACTCTTGTCTCGGTGCCAGTGTGACTTGCAAACAGTCCCTGCATAAGAAAGCATTCAGCAGCATTCATGTGTACAGGAGTCTCTATTTCACTGTGTATTCTAGCTGAAAGCCAAGGACTAGCCATTGTGGGAGCTTCCTTTTATTGTGTACAGGTGTCGGATGGCAAGCAGAGGGTAACACTTGCAATGGTAACTGCCAACTGGACACTTTCAGAACTTATGTGTCATTTTGTACAATTTCATACTAAGAACCAGTATCCCTGTTAACTACTGCAGCAAGTAGAGGAATGTAGACATTTCTGTGGGTGCCTTACTGCGAAGTCCTGTGCATGTACATGCAGAAGTAAGTCCCACTGTGATCACATTGGGCTTATTCACAGTTAAGTGTGCATAGGATTAGAGCCAAGACTGCAATTCTGTGGCCCCCAGGATAGTATCCTGGAGACTGTAGGAAGTGTCCCTCTGAGTTCTGCCATTGATATTAGCGGGCGAGGTCCAGTCCAACATCCACCATGTCCAGCTCTTGCAGAGTGTTTCATTGCACTGATTTGCAATTGGTAGCTGGCCAGTGAGTGGACTCTGGGGGTGGAAAGAGCAAGACTCTGCACATGCAGCATCTAACAACCACTGTGTGCATCACTAACAAGGGGAAAGTGAGGCCAATCCCAGAGGTGTCAATGATTACTCTAGCATCACTTGCGACTGGAGAAAAAAACAGTGAAAATCTGGGTCTGTAGCGGTAGGGTGGGGGAGAGGGAGCTTATTCACAGTCAAGTGGCAAGTGCTCCATGTTCACTTCCACCTAGCAGGGTTTCAGAAATGTCAGAACACCCATTCCAAGCTCAGAATTGCCCTGTTTACTCACTATTTTGACTTGGAAGAAGCAATTCCTTTGAGTGGTATGCTGCCTGTAATACAAAGGTTAGGGTGAAATCTATCACTGATTCCCAAATTAGGATTAACTAGGAGTGGAGCAATGGTCAATCCCTAAAACGGTGAGGACCCTTAGAATGATTCTTTGACTTGAAGGACAGTGTGAAAGATAAGATCAGAGTCAGCCTCTGGATTTTTCCCTGACAACTACTGGCTTTAAACTTGGGTTATTAAGAGTGTTCTATTTCTGTGTGTATGGCAGCCGGAGAGAAATGCTGGCACAATTCATATTTCTCTCCCCTTCCCCTTCCCCCCCGGCATGGATCAGATGGCTAAGGTATTTTCTAAGTTATTTTACAGTTATATCATGGCAGATAATTTTGTGATGGTCACCAAATGCATGAAATACCACTTTGGCTAGCAGAATGCGTCTACCTTGTAATCTTCAGTTGTATTACAGCTCAAGTGTCACTTCACCTAAAAGTCTTTTTTTCAGTTCAGGGCCTCACCTCTTTAGTAAGGGTTCAGCAGACCTATGAACAGATGTCCTTGTGAAACTCTTTCTCACAAAAACATGTCATGGATTACTTTAAAATGACTCAGGATTTGACCCCTTTGCCCGAAATAATCCTTTGGGTTTACAACTGGACTCTTCCAAGTGAGTTACTGTACTTTCCTCAGTTTTTTCATGTCACTCTGATACAATTGTTATTCATCCCTGGTGGGTTCCTTACTGGAGCAGGGAGGGGAGTGCATTTCTGTTGGCCGTTCACAATTACTGAAGCTCTCAGAGCTCTTAATTGTGCACATGTTTCTAAATTAAAGTACCTTCTGGGGTGGGGGTGGGGAATCTGTCTCTTCTTTGGCCACTTTTGTCTGTTCCGTATCACTTCCAGCACTAGTCTGTGAATGCAGTTCCTGCGAAAAAGATCTCAAATCCACAGTCTAACTAAAGTGCCATTTTTATTTGTTCTTTTAAAAAAACACTAGCCTTGCAATTTCCTCTTGACTGGCATGGTTATATTTTATTTTTCTTAATGTGAGATTTGTCTTAATCAAAGAAGGTGGCAAGTGGCCCTTTAAGTTAGTGGTGAACTACAACATCCATCACCTTTGGCTGCATATTGGCTTAGGCTGATGAATTTTGTAGTCCAACAATGCGTGGAGGGCCACATGTTTCCCAGCCCTGGTTTACATAAATAATTTGTGCTGCTGAGCTAAGCAGTGCGATTGTGGGTTTCTTAATGCAGGTGACTGACAAACTAAGCAACCCTCCATTGTTTAGTAGGCCCCCAAACTAGTCCTGTTTAATAAGGTAAGCAGTGACAAACTCTATGTGCAAACAAAAGTGGACAAGAATAGGGCTAGCATAAGAATGAGACTAGCGCTCTCTGCCACATGAGACTGACTGCTCAGTGTTACAACTGTGTTATCCCAACAATAAGTGCGGTAATGTTTTCTTTTCTCTGCTTATTGAAGCAGAAAACAAGCAAGTAGTTGTGAAGTAATTACGCGCACAATAGAAGACTTATTTCCAGGTC